GTGTGTGTGTGTGTGTGTGTGTGTGTGTGTGGCCAGCTCAGCCCACCAGGGGGCGCGGCTGGCTGGCATGTGGTGCTGGGGGATCGAACTGCGGTCCCTGTGCTTTTCCAAGCTTGTTCCAAATAGGTGCTTTAGACCACTGAGCCATCTCTCCAGCCCACCTTTTTGTTTTCTGGGACTCAATTCAGGGCCCCTTCACTGAGCTTATATTCCTTGATCTTTTTTTTTTTTTTTTTTGTATTTTAGGGAAGGGTCTACAGAGTGTTCAGGGTCTCACTACTAGATTGGACTCAGTAGTGATCCATCTATTTACAAGAGCTGGGATTGCAAGCTTGCACCACCACGCCCAGTCTAAATTGCCCAGCGTGCCCTAGGGGTGGGGCTGGCATGGCAGGCACAGGGATCGAACCCCTGGCTCCTGTGCCTGCTTGCAGGTGCTTTAATCCACTGAGCTATTTGGCCAGCCCTCTTTTTGTATTTTGAGATGGGGTTTTTCTAAGTCACTCAATTGCCCAGGCTAGGCTTAAACTTGGGATCCTCCTGCCTCAGCCTTCTGAGTCCTGGGACTACAGGAGTTGGCCATCATGCCTGCCTTCAGTCAAAGGACCCATCAGAAGTACATAGTCCCTGTCCACTTTGACTCTGGTTCAGACACGCCCCAGCTGGAGCGGGAGGCCTCGGCAGATGGCCTTTCTGCTATCGGAGCCCTGATGTCCCAGCAAGGTCGTTCAAATATTTCATTCAGAGCAGACAAGTGTCTGCAGTCACCAAAGGGCCAGTTCAGCCTGGCTGCAGGCAGCACTGTGTAGACTCAGGGGTGTCCCCGGCCCCTTGTTTCCACCCCCTGGGCCACAGCTCCTCTGGGGACAACCAGCGGCCACCTTACCTCCTCCAGGGGCAGCTCCCGCAGCAGCGGCAGTGAGCTGGCCAGCAGCCCAACGAGGAAGGGCGTGGGCGAGCACACGATGTCCACCATGGCCGGTGGCAGCACTGGGATGTAGGTGTGCTGCCAGCGGAAGGGGTAGATGAGCGCCACCATCGCGTGGCAGCACTTGGACAGGGTACTGTGCGGGAGAGAGGGGCTGGTAAGAGGCCGGCTGTCAGCAAGGGGGCGGCGGAAGCCTAAGTCTGGG